TCGCTCTCTCAACCATTGATGCTGAACCGCAGTCTTTCCTCCCGCAATGGGAAGACTTTTTGGTTTCCAGGACCCGCAGCCTGTAATCCGATTTAGTTTGGATCGGAGAGTGCGCGGCTTAAGCCGGGCGTCCACACCCTAATCATTCCCCTCATCACTCCCCGCGAGGGGCCTGTGCCAACTAATAATTAATTCCGCTCGAAGATTTGGAGCGCGGATCTTCCTACGGCAGATCCGCCTCACGTTGGTCATCCTTTGCTCGTAGATATTTTGCAGCGTCCGCCGCGTGGAGCGCCTTTAGCCCCGCGCAACTTGGTCTATGCAGTTCAACGGACCTTGGCGGAAGTCAGCAGAAGCGACCTATGTCATTTCATTTAACTCTCTGGTGCGTACAGTGCGTATGCGAGGCGAGGTAGCTGGACCACATGCTACTAGCAAAGGGCGCATTCTTTCCCATCAGACAGGTCACGGAGTTGGTTTGCCAATTTGTTCTAGGAGCTGAAAAGGTGCATCGTTTTGTTTTTTTCAAACCTTTCGAAGCTCCCTTTACGCTATCTACAATAAAAATATGTGCACCCAGGCCACTGCCCCAGGTGGACAGCAGCGTGCTAAGTTTAGGCAAAAATAAATTTGCACATAAAAATGAAACAAGTTTTTAAATCTCTGTAAAGCGAAATTAGAGCGCACAGCTTGAGGAGGAGGAGGAGGGGAGGGTATGCCCCTCCTCCTTCTCAGTACTCTCTCCTCCTTCTCCTTTTCTTCCTCCATTCCCTCCTCTCCCCTTCTCCCCCAATTCAGTTTCCCCGCTAAATTTAGCTGGAAAAATGACGTCAGATTCCCTGGTATCACGTCACCTATGAACAAATTAATTTTTTCCGCTAGATTTAGCGGGAAAAGTTTAGTCACATAACCTCAAAGCCAATTTGATTCCGCGCTAAATTTAGCGTGGAATGGAATTGGTGTTGAGGTCCCATCACGTCAATTTTCCCGTTATATTCAGCAAAGAACTGAATTTGCCCGCTGAATTTAGGGAGAAATAAATTTGTGTAGAGGTCACGTGACGTCGAATTTCCCACTAAATTTACTGCGATTACGCCGACACCGGCGCCGCGATACACGGAAACTGGCGCCTAAGAGCGGCGCTCTAGAAGACACAAAAAACGCGCCTTTTTTCTACATCAGTCGAAGCATGTGTTAAAAGAAATGCGAGCAATACTGTAAAACCCTTAATATTCGCGAGCCCTCAATTTTCGCGAATTTCACGAATTGAAGAATTCGCGAAATTTAAGGGCGCGCGAAAATATCGGTCCTTAAGATTTTCAATGCAGGCGTCTGGAATTCCCAAAATTTAGTGGTCCCGACTATGTCATCTGTGACCGATTCGCGAAAAATAGGGGCCGCGAAAATAAAGGGTTTTACAGTATTTGTTTTATTTGAAAAGACTGACTTTCATCGGTAAACTGTGTAAAAAAGTGTAAACGTGATATATACTACTTTATTATGCTAAAAATGTTCGCTACATACCCTAAATAATTCTCCGCATATTAACCGCCCACTTTAGGCAGTTATTATAATGGGGCAGAAGCTTATGGACGCCTCTCCCCAAAAATGCTGCCGCCTGGATTATGATTCATTCCATTACGAGGTCGTCAAGGCAGTCTGTCGCCAAAGTCGTTCTTTCCCGACCCCTAATATCTAAGACTTCCGGGGGGGGATCGGTGGCCGAGTGGTCTAGCGCACACCAGCTCGGAGCACGTGGAGCGAAAGCTCGCGCTGCAGAACCCAGGGATCCTGGGTTCGAGCCCCACCCTTGCCCGTTTCGATCTGGATGAGCATCGTACCGGCGTGCGGTCGTGTATCACTACTGCGTGATGCACGTTAAAGACCCCAGGCTAGCGGCTGTACCGCACTGGCTAAATTTCTCATCTATAGCTGGGAGACTCGTCGCCCCTGTGAGGCAGACCAAGTTCTAGGCTGTATAAACATACACACAAGCCAATTTTTTTTTATCTAGGACTTCTGTTTTTCTTTACTTCATATCACGTGACACGTATGTTGCGAGTGACGATATTGCTCACGCATTGTGATACAGGACCCTTGCGGGAACCCTCTATGGAGACGGCATGAAATAGCCTCCGGCACGTCATAAAAACTGTCTTAATCTGCGCAGGGTTTACACGACGATGTAGCTTGAACCTGTAATCCTACAGGCTGTTCGCGACACTGCCGGCCGCCATGCGATGAAGATACAAATGCTTCCGGCTCTCCTGTGTTTACCTTCCGTGTATGTGGGTGTGCGACGACTATCGGTTCCCTAGTGACTAACTGAGTGAGATTTACGCTTCAGAAAAGCCCCAGTGTCGTACTTTTCAGTTTAGTTCAGTTCAGTTTATTTTACCTCAAAGGCATTTCAAATGAAATGCATTACATGAGGGGGGATACAATGACATATACAGATGGCAAAAAAAGTGACGACAAGGTAAATAATACGAAAACGCAAAAAGAAAACAAAAGAAATACAAACTAATAGGACAGATATCAGAATATAACATGTATAAAAAATAATTAGCAGATAAACATGTTAAGGATCAACGCTTTTCAGGTGTGCCTTGCATAGTTCACGGAATGTCTTAGGGTTAGATTCACGTACTATGGATTCAGGAAGGGAATTCCAGTTAGTAACAGCGAGAGAAAATGGGGAATTTTGGAATTTATTAGTTCTGGGGAATAGAGGTTTAATTTTTAGGCTGTGGTCATGACGCAAGGAGATGTTAGGTGATGGGTTACAGTTGGTGTTTCGAAAATCAGAAGAGGAATAGTAAGTTGTGAAAAAGGACAAGACGAGCAACTTGAGATCTTTGAGATAGAGGGCATAGGTCGAGGTTGAATTTTAGTGCAGTTACGCCTGACGTTCGCGAGTAGTCGTGTGTTATAAAACGTGAGGCCTTGTTTTGCACTGATTGGAGTTTAGTAATGACATATGATTGATGAAGCCACCAAATAAAGTTGGCGTAGTCCAATTTTGATCGGACGAAAGTCATATAGGCAGTTAGTTTAACACAACGGGGAGTGGGGTATAGGTTACGTTTGAGCTGACGATGCTTTTAAGCTGACGATGCGTACCGTCGCGAGCGAAATGTCATAAGGGAAGTTACTTAGAGTATCTTGAGACGAGGTACGCAACCGACGCCGCCGAACCTGGGAGTTCGCAGAACGACGGCATTGGGAGACGGTGCTAACACTTCGATGTGCTGTCGACCGATGGCGGAAGGCGACGCACGCGAGAATGTGGCGCCGGCGCTGCGGCGCCTCAACCGACCACGACGATGGGCTATTACGGCAAGTACAAGTGCAATGGGAACGGTACTTTGACAAATAAACCTCTATTACCATATCAAGAAGGTCAAAACACACAAAAAAAAAGTGCATTACAGAGTCTCGCGTCGCTCTAAGGGAAGCATAATAAAGAGTTTCGGGAGATTGCTAAAACCAACAATCAGCTCTGCGAACTTTACAGGGAAGCTCGGCGCGTATCTTCGGTGCCTGTGGGAGGTAAGTGCCCATCGTCAATTCCTTGCCGCTAACACTGTAGTTAAACGCGTTCATGCACCTGTAGGTTTTAAGTCGTGCTCTGGTATATAGACCAGGTGGCTCGAATAGGTAGTCATGAAAATGTGTCCACGATACGTTCGGCAAATTTGTCATTTGTTTGAGAACCAAATAAGTGATTTTTCTTTGAACCGGAGGGATCAGGGGACAGCTGTGTCTATTCCGTATAAGTAGATTTCAAAAGCTACAGCAGTTAGTCCTCGGCGGTGATACTTTTAAAGTATGCGCTACTTACTGAATGTCCTCAAAAACCAGCCAAAACAACAGCTAACCGAAAGTGACATACTTCTCCCAAAAGTTCGGCCACTATTGGTTTTTGGTTACGTCCCTGTAAACCGTCTGTGTATATTAAAATAATTTTGTCACTTTTATTTCGCATTTATTGGCAGTAGGAACAAAAAGCAGCCCTGGTAGTTATGAACAACCGACACGGTGAAAGCTTCTTTGAACAAAAAGTTTGTGAAACTTCGTTGTCAAAAAAAAATGTTCTTATGCGCTGCCAAGATTGGGCTCCGGATTTTATATAGCCTGGGTGCCGATTTTTGGGGGGCAATCCTTCCATTTCTTGTTTCAGTGAGGAATAAAGCTCTGCCAACAATCATAATTTACAGGTCAGCGAACGGAAATTGCAGTTCACTATACTCCGTTTCAAACATAGCGTGCAACGCCGTCAAAGCTAGCGCGCCGGTTTACACAGCCAACCGCGCCTACGTTCGCTTCACAGAATAGTGCCGCCCCTGCAAAAAAAACAAAAAGTCGACAAATAAATGTACATCTTTGGAGCGAGTAACAGATAATGGCGTTTTGATTTCGACGAAAGATAGATTTTTTCAATAAAAAGGAAAAGATAATGTAAGCTACTTTAATTGTTTTCCATTTTCGTCCGTGCGGCAGCCGCTTCGCGTTTTGAGTTGTGCGCCTGCCAGCATCTTCCCCTGCCTCGCCGGTTTTGAGAAGATGGCGTCTAACGCAGCAAGCTCAAGTACCTCTCCTGTTCGGATTTTTTCGAAGATTCGTTGTGCGAAGATCTCGAAAGAGTGCAAGCAGGTAATCGCCAACGTGTACGCGAGTACAAGGACGCGATTCCCGGAAATGTCGGTTCGTGAAATCCTGGAGAGGGACAGTAATGACACCGGAGTGTGCGCCCGTACTGTCGCGAAGTACAAGGCGCCGTGTCTATCTGGCAAGGTGGCGTCCCCGAAGCGAAGACCTCGCAACGTAAAAGTTTCGAGCACGCGAACCTTCAAGCATGACGAGTTCACACTCAACGCCATTCGCCTGAAGGTGCATCGGAAGTACTCTGAGAGGGATATTCCTACTCTTGATAGCATACTGCAGGCTGTGAACGAAGACGACGAGATGCCCGACCTGTCGAAGACGAATTTGTAAAGGTTGCTCAAAGACATCGGCTTCGCTTTTGAGAAGAGGAAGCGGAGACTGGCCCTTATCGAGCGCAGCGACATCATTGCCCGGCGTCAGAGGTATCTGCGAGCCATCAAAAAATTCCGAAGACAGGGCAGGTACGGATCGTGCTATACGAATTTACTCATGTAGAACATATGCGCCGTCTTCGCGTCGCACATACTGTAAACGATTTATTTTTCGCGGGCTCAATATTTCGCGATTTAGATGAGAGCTGAAAATTTGGAATAATTCGCGGGTTCTAATTTTTGCGACCCGGTGGGATTTCAATGTAGATTACAATATATCTACATTTTACTGGAATTGTCAGCGGGACCTATTTTTCCCGGATTTCAGGCGATTCGCGAAATTCAGGTCACGCGAAAATAAAGTCGTTTACAGTTTTCCACTTCGACCATAATTTCAGAATTGTCAAATGTCGTCCTTGAGCTATTTGGAACAACTTACTCACCTCACGGATTGCCCTAATTGAGATACGTAGATTTCAAGAAAAGTCTAGCGCATAACTTCATTTTACATTTTCATAGTTAACTAAGTACGCAAAATTAAGCCTGACCCAGTAAATAATCTACGTCGTGTTTAGTTATTGTGATATTGGAATTAACACAGAATTTGAAATTATATAAGGTGTTTTCGTGCAGGACTATCATCTACCTTGATGAAACCTGGGTGAACGCCGGACACACCAAGCAATTCGTCTGGCAAGACAAGACTGTGAAGTCCTCACAGGACGCGTTCCTGAAGGGCTTGACGACAGGCCTGGCAGCACCGTCTGGTTAAGGAGGCCGTCTGATTCTTTTTCATGCTGGGAGCAGCGAAACAGGCTTCGTTGAAGGTGCTGCCGACTTCTTCAGGGCCAAGAAAGGCAACAATGCGGACTACCACTCCGAGATGGGTGGCACCTACTTCGAAGGGTGGTTTTCAAGCCAGCTCCTGCCCAAGATCCCGCCCAGAAGCATCATAGTGATGGACAATGCTCCATACCACAGTGTTGCTCTTGAAAAAGCACCCACGTCGCCGACTCGGAAAGCCGACATCCAGGCATGGCTCACAAAGAAAGGAATTTCATGGTCTGGGGACATGGTGAGGGCTGAACTCCTGGAGCTTTCCAAGAAGGTCAACACACCCGGCACTGTGTACCGGATCAACACTTTGGCAGCTGCCCACAACCACGAAGTCCTACGACTGCCTCCCTACCACTGTGAATTCAACCCCGCTGAGCTGGTATGGAGCAAGGCGAAGGGCTACGTGGCGAGCAAAAACAAGCTTTTTACGCTTCAAGAGGTCGAGCGGCTCCTGCCAGAAGCACTGGCATCTGTGACCCAAGAGGACTGGCGGAACTGTTGCACCCACGTTGAGCGTGTTGAAGATGAAGCGTGGGAACGGGACATCATTGTCGATAGTGAAATTGAGCCAGGGGTATTCACTGTTGGAAACACGAGTAGCTCCTCCAATGAATCTAGCCAAGATCTGAGCGGCATCGAGGAACATGAGTAACGGGCGTCGTCTATCCAACGGCGCTTGTGAGGGCCACAACAATCTGTGCAAATCGGGCTTCTTTCGATGGCTTCAAACTCCTGTGTCTCTTTCAACAGCAAAAAAAAAAAAAATCACGAGTGCAGAAGGAGTTGAGTGTCATGATTGCATGTGTACAAGGAATCCCCACGTCGGTTGCCGTTTTTCGCTCGCTATCCGTGGCAGGAAGAGTGTCAGTTGAAGCAGATAGCCGAGAAAGTCTGCAATGACGAGAATTTGTATCGTCCATCTACAGTATTTGTTTCGCCCCGTGAAACACCTTGTAATCAGCTGCGGACGTGTACTGCAGTCGTAACAGTAAACCTGTGCCTGCCAATAACGTAAATGAGACACTGAAGAAAATACCCATTTTCTATCCCTAGAATGTCACCCAGAGAAAGACCTGACTCTGTCGTGTTGCGCACCAGTATACCTGTGCTGCATTTGATTTATGTAAAATAGTATATAACTCAAATCCAAATATTTATTGTCCCAGCAAGAAAATGACAATCATCTAGGGGCGTGATTTTTTCTTTGTTGGTTGTTTACATTCTTTTCTACAATGATGCGAGGGGAGCTGTAAAATGAGGCCTCAAATGGGAGCATATCTCTAACAAACTGTGCTAGCTTTTCAATTATGTTTACAACATGAAAGACCAGGGGTTTCTCAGGAATTTAAATTAGGGGGAGGGGGGGGGGTTCTCGATGTTACGGGGAAGGGGGGCATTGAGAATAGAGGGGCCGTTCCGAATTAAGGGGATGCCTTGAGAAAAACAAGCGGGTGTAAACCTCCCTACCCCCCCCCCCCCCCTAGAGGGAGTGTGGGGAAATCACTGATAAAGACACGAGAATCAGATTTGCCCAGACCTCGCAGCAGTAACTTGTGTTGGGAAATATGTTTCCGGTATGTAATGAAGTACCTGACGGAAGAAAGATGTGGACAAAATTAAAACAGCTATTTCAAAATAAACTGTACAGGCCACAACTATTATTGATTAACGTCTTATTATAAACTTTAGGACAAGACTGCTATCAAGGCGATTTCTCATTCTAAGCTGCACGAAAAAGCAATATAACTCGGGTGTTGGAGGAAAATAACACTTGCATAGCGGCAGAGCAATGGTAGAAATGCGGCCTTTCGGCGACTAATAAATAGAAAGCAAGAAAAGAGGAATTGAAATATGCACCTCCGCAATGCGCAGAAAAATACGTCTACAAAAAATTAAAAAAAAATAAAAAGTGCGCGTCATGGGGATTTGAACTACCGCCGCCGCGACGTCGCGATCGCCAGAGCAGCGCCTTGTACCGCTCGTCCATAAAACGCGCGGAGTAATACATTGTTTGGTGTGTTTTCATGCGCACTACATCCGTAGCTTTCCCAGCGTTGCACGCGATGTTTGAAACGGAGTGTAGATACGAGCTTGTCACTAATGCATGTCAGGTTACACCTAAGAAACCGGGGTACACAGAAGTTCGCCTTTTTTATCGAAGCGACAAACATGTGCGGGTTGGACAATGATAATTGCATACTCGACCGAGAACTCACAGAGGCTGGAATAGTTCCTAGTCGAAGATACTTGTACAGCCCACATCCCCGGAAACGTGTGCCGTAGTATGCTAGCGCCATATCTTGCCGAGATAAAGCACCACTCCCCTAGAAACCCGCGTATTTGATATACAAATACAGTCATACACCGCAACGTTACGGTTTGAACAATGTTATATAATGCTAGTCCACTCTACCATGTACCGCTATTCATGATGATGACGATGATGATGCGTGCAAATCGCAGGTTCCTCAGTATAATAAGCTTTTTGATGTATTGTCACTACGGACAGTCAAGTTAATCGAAGTGTACAGTTTATTTTTGCGGATAAAAAAAAACTCTTTATGATTGTATAAATTGAATAAAATTCCTCCCCAACATTGTGGCAAATTTCTTGGTGTCTAATATATGTAATACATTTGTAGAAACATATATTTCGAAGGCACTTCACGCAATTAAGTTTTGAATAAATTGAAGTTCATACGAGCACAATTTATACATACAACAAAATACAAGAGTTGCCATTTGACTGCAGCAAAGCAAAGTTATTTAATCTGCTGTGTACATTTTGTTTTCTCTTAATATGATTTTTTAGCTAACTATGGCCAATTTACCAAATAAAGTGGATTTGTTCTCGTTTAGACGTTTACGATCATTTCAAGTATCCGGCTATATGCATCAATAGATGAGCAAAAAAAACAGCTGTTTTATGTTGAGATAAAGTTATTTTAAATGTTTATAGATGATTTTCGCAAATATAAATGTTATGTGATTATAACGAAGTGAGTTTTTTTTTAATTGCTTTAAGCACTGCGAAAAAATAAAGATTTATAAGAGAATTATTATTCCGATCATTTTAATATTCACATGCCAAAAGTAATATTTAGACACGCACTAAATGCTAACATTAACTTAATTATCTCAATCTCCTTCCATACAAACAGAAAAAAATGGGGAGAAGAACGATTTGAAACATCCGGTTTAAGATCACATTCCTCGAAGACGGTTGAAGTCCAAGATTTTGCAATAGCACCAGCTTGTACTCTGAAGCCGGACATTTTATATTTTGTAGCCTGTTGAAAACTTGGTCGATCATGAAACCTGCCCGGACAAGGCGCGCGTGCTCAAATGTGCAAAGAAGAACAAATGCCTGAAAACGACCGAACCATGTCCATTTCATGAAAAGGTTTATCAAAGATGATTCATTTTTGAGGATTTGTCACAGTAGCAGCTTGCAGTCAAAATCCCGAAATTGTGTATATCATCGCCAGTTAAGAAGTCGGCCGATCTCAAAAATGTTCTGGATGAGGTGCGTGTGCCGGAATTTTAAGTGATGAACAAAACCCTTAAAATAGTACAACCATGTCCACTTTGAAGGATTTTACTCAAAGGTGGCTCAATTTCGCTATAGTAGCAGCTTACAGTCGCGGGCCCTATATTTTATATTTATTTAGCATAAAAAGTCTAACACGACTTCAAACTGTTACAGGATGACGCGCACGTGCCCAAAGTTCGGTACGAATAGGTAAAAATGGACAACGACCCATCTTTAAGACAAGTTTTCGCAAAAAATGACCAATTTCTAAGTATTTGCGATAGTACCAGGACATCCTGGAGGTTCTCCAATGGATTTTCTGCTTTGGTTGGGAACTGAGCTGTATTAAAAATGTTCCCTGGCGAGGCGCGCGTGTCCAAATTTATGAAGATCAGCGAATGCTTGAAAACAGCCGAACCATCCCCACTTTGACACCAGTTTTCTCAAAAAAGGTTTCATTTTCTAGTATTTGCCATAATACGAGGAATTCCTCGAGGGCTATTAATTTCATATCTCCCATTTATTTGGGAACTGGATGGTTCTCAAAAAGTTCCCTGGCCTGGCGCGTGTGCCCAAATTTCAAAAGATGAACGAATGCTTAAAAACGACCTAACCATCCAAGATTTTAGACAGGTTTTCTTAAAAAGAAGTATTTGCTATAATACCAGACTGTACTCGAAGGCTTTAAATTTTATACTCTGCCATTAGTCGGGGGCTGACTTGTCCCGAAAAAGTTCCCTGGAGAGACGCGCTTGCCCAAATTTCAAACACTGAACGAATGCTTAAAAACGACCTAACCATCCCCGATTTTAGACAGGTTTTCTTAAAAAGAAGTATTTGCTATAATACTAGACTGTACTCGAAGGCTTTAAATTTCATATTCTGCCATTAGTCGGGGCTGACTTGTCCCGAAAAAGTTCCCTGGAGAGACGCGCTTGCCCACATTTCAAACGATGAACGTATGCGTAAAAACGGCCTCACCATCCCCAATTTCAGACGATGCTACTCGGTAGGCGTTGATTTTTTGATAACTTGGCATGATGGAAGGGAATGATAAAATTATCATCCGCGTTTTCTTTCGCCAGCCCTGCGACGATGCACGAGCTATAACTTTGGAGCACCAACAAATTTCCAATGCGCTGCGATTTTGTATAATTTACTGATCTTGTGGTTTTCGAGGACATTCGGAAAGATTCTAATTTGAATAATATGTTCTTTTAGTAATTAAGATTATTCAACAATTTGTATAAATTATTTAAGTTTTTTGTGACCATTAGCGCTATATATAATGTCCCCATGGCCATGGAACTTAGGTGATTATACTGCTTTCACGTAACCTTAACTGAAATTCAAAAACGAAGTGAAAAGCCTAAAATAAGCTCCCATGCATACATTATATAAATGCAATCAATTTAATACTGATGCCACTTGCAAGGCCTAGCAAGCTGCGTTCGGTCACGGAATTCTAGACTATTCGCGTTTATTAAAGGGGCAGTGTAACAATTTTCAGACTTTGGCCAATGAACTGCGGAAATAAATTTGTGTCACCCATGGAACGGAGAACAGAAAATCGTATTTTCTTGAGAGTGCTAGTTTTTATCTAAAAAAAAAATGAAACAAATCGAAAGTTAAAGTGCCTCTCAACTCTCTACGTCGCCTTCGAGTGACGTGCTCTGGGGGATCACGTGGTTTTCCCTTGGGTTCTCTCTTCAGAAAAACCAGCCGCTTCCTCCGCGATTATAGACTTTTAACGTATTAGCATCGTCGAAGGTTGCGGCGAGAGATCAACAGAAAAGACGGTTCACCACGCGGATGACGGCGAGTGTAGCAGCGGAGGGGGACTGGTTTTGTTCACTTCCGCGTATCTCCCAGAGTACGTCACACTTCAGTTCCGTATACCACCACAAGCGGCTGCAGATCGGCAAATATTTCGATTTCTTCTTTGCTATTACGCACCGGAATAGCAAAGGGGCAAGGTGACGCGTTTTAGGTCACTTGTGTTTGGATAGACTATATAAAATTACAAACCACCTATTATTTCAATACTAAAATCGTTGCACTTCCCCTTTAAAGCCGCCCTGCAATCATATTTAAGCGTCTACCTTTTTTTGCGGTTTCCA